GGCTTAATAAAAAAGAAAAATGAGGCAAAGAATGGCCTCATTTTTAAAAAAATAGATCTGGGAAGGGAAGACCCTCAGGGTTTCTGGACAAAACATAAACAATTGGTATTTACATTCATTCTGAGCCAAACAGGGACCAAACAGTGATGAAGTCTAGGACCAGAGTGATTTGGGGTTAAGGGTGCTTTTTAAGAGAAAAAAAAACAGAAAAAAAAGTTTCAGAGATTAAAATTTACATTCCCTTTGGCAGAGCACTGTCAGGTAAGGGTGTGATACCTTATGTGGAGAGGGAAGAAAGGAAGAAAGAAAGATAGGAAGGAAGGGAGGAAGGAAGGAAGGAAGGAAGGAAGGAAGGAAGGAAGGAAGGAAGGAAGGAAGGAAGGAAGGAAGGAAGGAAGGAAAGAAGACTTGTGGCCCAAATAGAAGTTTGGTCCCTGGTGGGCAATTCCTTTCTCTACTCACAGAGGTTGCTGTTTGGCCTTCCTGATCCAAGAGGACCATGACATCAGGGATGTGATGCCATGACTTGCAAGTGAATTGCATTTAAGTGAGGGAGGGCTGTGCAAAGTTACCAGCCTCACTTTCTCCACTGGAGCCATCTGGGTCCAGTGGCCAGATATGGATCAGGACAATTGGTGATGGCCTAGGATGTAGTGGAGGACCTCGGCCTTTTCAACAGAGTTGATCAAGAGGTGGGAGGTAAGCTCTATTGCTTTCAGGAAACTGTAAAACTCCTTCAATAACATCAAACTTTCCCTAGAAACAAAGACCCATTTTTTAAAAATATCATCATTCTACCAGTGTTGCTGTATGGCAAAAATACATGGAATATGACAGTCCCTGAAAAAATAAAAATGACAGTCACACAGAGAGCAATGGAGAAGCATGTAAGGAATGTGAGCAGAACTCTGAAGAAGAAAGGAGTAAAGGATGTCATGAGATGTATGATATGAAGGAAAAAAATGAGCTGTTCAAGTGGTGAGACTGAGGGATGGCAGAAGGATAACCAGTCTTCGACTGGTATCCTCATAAAGTCAAGTGACATTGAAGAAGGCCTATGACACACTGGGAGGACCCCAACTGGTGAATTCATGAATAAGAGTTGCATTCCTTGGGCAGACATGGATAGGTTTTAAGCTTCATTATTGGATGAAATATCCAAATGGATTGGGTCACAGATCCTTTTGAGAATCTGAATAGTAGTCAGCCACTTAGAGACCAGAATGGTTTCTAGAAGTCTCACTGGCTCACAACGTCTTTCACCACTTTATAAACATTAAAGTGACATATAAATCCTAGTTATTATCATTAGGCATTTTCTTTTGCATTCATTCATTCATCTACTAAAGAGACATTTAAGTACCTACTGTGTGCAGGGTACCAGGTAAGGAGATACAAAGCTTAGCCTCTGCCCTAATGGAGCTTAGAGTTTAGAAGAAAGGTCGGAGACAGACCTACATCATCATCATTATTATTACTATTATTATTATTATTATTATTATTATTATTATACCCTGTTTAAGTTCAAGAACATTGGCTATTATGGACTTTCAAATTAATTTGCATTCAAAGGCGATCACATTCTTTCGATCTGAGGGCCAGGTCCATGAAAGAAAGGGAAATTAGGTAAGAGATGGGGAAGGGGGAGAGAGATCTAATTTTGGAACATAAGGAACTTCCTAGGAGGACCAAGGTAGAGGAATCACAGAATTACTTTTAATAACCAGGAACCATCAAAGAGATATTGGATTCCAGGTGGGTGTGTCTCTGTGTTGGTTGTAGGGGTGGAGTGGGCTCCAATGGGATGGGAGTAGACAGTGAATAGGATGAATATGATGCTGAAATGTTCCTTGGATTCCAGGAATTTTCATTTCCTTCCTTACAAGATCCCAACTCTTTGAGGCAAGTAAGGTTTCTCTTGTTTCTTCCTTCTTGTATGCCCAGGATCTAGCTTAGGACCTTGTTCATAGTAGGTAGACATTTTATAAATAAATGCTTATCAAATTGAATGAACAGGAAAAAATGGAGAGGTCTAGTGGGAAAAGGGGAGTCAAAGACCACCTAAGGGAGACTGCTACTGATTTGCAGTTTTGCCTAGAGCGGCCCCTGGGCCTAACCACCTTCTAGCAGAATTTCAATGACTGGATTTATGTTTCAGGTAACAATCTGGCTAACTGATTGCTCACACAAAGAAATCAATTAGTAAGAAACTACATTATGGAGTTTGTAATACGGATGTACTGTATACCACTAGCATCCTTAGAAAAAAGCTGAGTTATAAGAGGAAAGAAAATAATAAATATGGTGTCACGATAACAAAGATATTTTTCTATCCAATTCCACTAATGATGGCAAAAATTGCCTATTTTTCCCAAATTTCTCAGATAATTGTGGCTGTATTAGTGCAGTGTTTATCTCCCAAGACAGAAATATTTCTGAAATTTTCCCTGGAGTTTTTCTTATACTTCCTCCTCAATGTCTTCTTTTTCCTCTCATGCCATCATCTCCAGTTGAATATCCTTCAGAATAAAGCATGTAGTTGAACATTTGGTAGCATAATTAGTTCCTAATCTTTTTAATTCCTCACTTGCCAGCTATGATACTGACCCATGCACATGACTATCCACTGTGACCACTGGGTGGATGGAACTGAGCATTATTTATTGTACTATTATGAGATACAATCAATAAAGGGACATCGTTTTCATTCCCCTAATTAGAAAATTTACAAAATTTTCCACTGAAAATATAGCCATAATGATCATTTAAATGAGCTAGTATATACAAAGTGGTTAGTGATGCTAAAGTCTCTGTAACTGTCAGCTCATCATGACAGGAGGCATTGTGGGCCACTGGAAAAAGCAGCAGACCTAGAATGTGGAGGTCCAGGCTGAGCCATGAGCACGATGCTTAGGAACTGTCCAACCATTAGTTGCTTTTTTCTTGGTTTCCTCATCAGTAAAATAGAGATGGCAAAACTTTTACTACTTACCTTTCAGAGCTACTGTGATGACAACATTTTTAAAAACCTATAGAAAAGTGAGTTTTTACTACATAGTTCTTTCTGTTTTGTAGCATACTTTTCTCACAGCAATTCTGTGAAATGGGTTGGGCAATTCTTATATCTCCATTTGACCAGTGAGGGAAACTGGGGTTCAGAAAGGTGAATTGACTTGTCCATGTTCACACAGCATGGAAGCCGCCAAATTAGGAGTCGAACTGAGTTACTGAGGCTCATAGCCCTAAGTATCCCTTTATAATCTTTTGCCCCTCATATTTTACATAAGATGTTTTGTGTTTATTTCATATGAATACTAAGGTGAGCAGAAGTTATCTGTAATCAAAGTCAACTACCCTTCCTGTAACTAAACTCAATAAGTGTATTTATTAAGCAACTACTATGCTAGGCACTGAGAATCCAAAAGAACACAAGGAAAATAGTCCTGGCCCTCAGGTTAATTTACATTCTACTGAAAAAAAGTAAAAGCTAACATTTATATAATACTCCAGTATTTCAAAAGCATAATACAAATGTCAACTTATTTGATATAACTACCCTATTGAGTAAGTACTATAGGTATTTTTCCTGTTCTACCGATGAGAAAACTGAGAGTTATACAGGTTATGTGGTTTGCTCCTGGTCATACAACTGCTAGATTGATTCAAACCCAGGTCCTTCCTGGTTGCCACTGCACCCTGTCCTCAACCCTCCTCTTCCTCTATCCCTCCCTCTCCCTACCCACCCCTACCCCCTGGGCAGTGTACTCCAGTGACTCAGCAAAGGGAACAAAGCAAAAAGCAGTGCTGAAAAGAAGACTTGAAGATCATCTAAATATTAGCTCATAATATTCTACCTTATCATGAAGAAGTTAAAAGAATGAGACCTGAACATATTTCTCAGGGAACTTCTTTTTTTTGTTTGTTTTCAAGAATTTCTCACTCTATTAATCTTAATGGAATTCGCCTGTATAAAACGGTGTGGATGGCACGAAGAAGCCATAGCCATAAGGGATAGCTAGCCCTGCTTGTAATAATTTAATTTTTATGTGTGTGTGTATGTGCAAAATTATTTAGGGATGGTTGCTTCTTTCTAAGTTATGGAAGGCATGTGGCAATCTGATTGAATGTACAACAGGTTCCAAAAACATCTCCCAAACACATTAACGTCAGCAAACAAACTACCCTGCCTACCAAAGTTAACAACAATAAATTTGTCTATTACAAGGAATGCTGTGCACAGCTTCCCAAAATACAATGTCTGTGCACATAATTTGCTTTCTACAAAGTTCCAGAATCCTCTATAGAAAGGAGCGGTTAGGGATGGGGGGAAGGGGAAAGTGCATGTATAGAAACATAAAATATTAACCTCCAACCCTGTCCCCCACAAGCTCATCGAAGAAAGTCACAGGAACTTACAGATGGGTGTAATTTGGTCTGTCTTTCCCAGCTAAGCTGTGAAGGGAGTGCTAGTGGAAAGGGAAAAGAAGGGAGGGCATTAGAGAAGGAGGAAATGAAAAAGAAGACATGAGATAAAATTAAGAGGAAAGACAGAGTAGAGGAAAAGTGATTGACAAAAGGAGATAAAATACAAGCACCGGCAGGATTAGGGATTGCAGTGGAAGGGAGGGTTGAGGAGCAAGAAGAGAAATGGACGAACAGACATATGGAGCAACAGGAGAGATGAGAGAGGTGAGTCAAAGAGACACAGGATAAAAAGTGGGAAAGGCAGAGGTTAAAATGAAAACAGAAAATAAGGGTTGGTGAAGGACAGGCAGAGAGGAGTCATACACGTACATACCGAGAAGGGGTGATGAACGACCAAAGCAGGATGGAAAGAACGCGTGAGGGAAGGCAGAGCAGGGATAAGGAGAACAGCTGGAGCGCGCGCATGTGAGGGGGAAGGAGCGACCAGTGTGGTGCAGCCAGATGTGTGGCTGCAGCCCCAGCTCCTGGTTGCAGAAGGACTTCAGCTCCCCCTCTGGCCTCTCACTCTGACTTGGCAAACCCGGCTGGTAGCGTTTGCTCTGCGCTCTGCTCTGTCCTAAGCCGCCGAGTGGCTGGACTTGCCATCTCCGAGCCCCAGGTTCTGAAGCCATCCCAGAACCAGCCCGCATCCTGCACCAGGAAGAGCCGCCTAGGGAAGGGAGAGAAGACCACCGCCCAGAGGGAGGGGCGCCCACCGCCCCACCAGACAAGGATGGGGCAGGCTGAGAAGGACCCCTTGTTCTGCGTTTAGCGTTGAAGACTCTGGAGACTCTTTCTATTTGGGGGTGGGGGTGACTTCTATGAGTTTTGGCTAGGATGAAAAGCAAATAGAAAGGGAAAGGGAAAAGCCTCCAGATATGATGCTTTAGCCCAGCGGATGCTCCTAGGGCTGAGGGGTGGATGTGCTCCCTGTGTGTTTGCTCTGCAGGTCCCTGGGGCGGCTGGTCCCCTCTCTGGCCAGAGTATGGGAGCCGAAGCTCGGTGGAAGCTGCTGCGACTTCATCCCAGAAGCCAGCGGGGTTAAAGAGATCTAGCCTGAGCTCGGAGCCCATGTATGTACGCATGTATGCATGCATGCATGTGTGCATGTCTGTCTGTATGCATGTATAGCCTCCCTTGGTGGGAGGACAGGGGGTGGGTTCAGGGACGGGGGAAATTTCTCTCAGTTACCATTACATTGCACTCTTCTGACTTGGCAATGCGTCCACATCCCTCCCCCCGCAGCCTGCGAGGAAACTTTGTAAATAAGGGTGACTTCTCCCCGGAAAGACAAGCTTGTGGGGTGGAAAGGGCAGGAACATGATGGTCAGCCTGGGAAGTGAAGGCTGAGCGAGAGCTGCCTGGAACATGCCAGGGCAGGCGCTCTGAGCGGAATGGGTTAACCAGGTGGGTATTGGTTTCCTTCCCATATCCCTTGCCATTTCGTCTCATTGTCCATCAAAAGTCAGAAACTTTTACAAGCCCCGGATGAAGTGTGGGGAAGACCACAGCTGTATCTTTGTCTTTGCTCTCCCCTCTCCTCTTACTTTTATTTTGTTTGTATGCCCCCCTCCCCCTTTCCTCAGGAAAGGTGGGTCTAGTTGTGCCTTATTAGGTGTTTTCCCTCCTCCCTCCTATCACCGATTTGGTTGCCATCATCTCCCTCCGAGCTTATGAGCCTACAGAGCCAGGTATAAAGGGAGGGCAGGGTTCAGCGGTAGAGGTTGGTCCTTTTAGTATTCTTGGCATGGGAAATAGAGGTCCAGGGACTTCTTCCCAGGGTGCTGCACATTATGGAGGCCTAGTGAGTTCACTCCTCCCCCATTCCACCCCACCCCCAAATCCCACAACTACAACCAGCAACCTTGTTTATTATTAAGTTATTGTATTTATCAGATTATTGGAAGGGGCTCTGCTTTATGTCAGCCCCTAATGTAAGATTTAATTTTTCTGATTTATTCCATACCTAAGTGTGTGTAGCTTTAAATCAACAACTACTGCACAGTACTCTAAGACAGATCATTTTTGTTGAGGAGGACTGGCGAGTGACAGCCATAATACTGATTAGACTTTAATGTCCATCTAACTAGCAACCTCAAATTACTTTTGGTCAGCCTTAGAAATTCAGTTGGGGACAGGGGTTAGGGACCTGGATTGCCTTTGCTTCTTTCACCATGTATTTTGCAAGTCCTTTCAAACCTACCCTCTAGCAGACGCTGCTTTTTAAAAAGAAGACTCTTCTTGGATTACAAGAAAGATAGATTAATGGAATCCATCCTACACACAGGCCGAAAGAGGAAGAGGGAGAGAGAGAGAGAGAGAGAGAGAGAGAGAGAGAGAGAGAGAGAGAGAGAGAGAGAGAGAAGAGAGAGAGAAAGAGAGAGCATCTATTGGCTGTTTACTCTAGACTTTGTTAGGATTTAAAGAGCCACACTTGATTGTAGGGACATTTATTTTGATAGGCATTACAAGATGGGCTATACATTCTGCAATATGCCAGTGCCTTATTTATTTATTTATTTTTGTCCATGATTGTCCACATATTTGAAGTAGTTAATTATATAGGCAACAGCTTGGCCTTAAAGAGCCACTGCCATCCTTTGAATGCAGAATGAAACATTGTAGGCTGAAGTGTTTCTAATTGTTTTCTTCCCAGGGACTGTGGATTTACATAGTGATTCCCTTTTGATGTTGAATGCAGAAGCTCTCCCTCCCTCCCCCCCATTCCCCTTTGGGATGCAGTAGGTGATGCCCAGTTCTACTGCAATGGCAATTGGAGCTCTCTCAAGTTCCCTCCTGGTAACATGCTGTCTAATGGTTGCCCTCTGTAGCCCGACCATACCTCTGGAAAAACTGGCCAAGACTCAGGAAAAACAGGAGATTAAAACCAATCAAGAGAAGAGAGACCACGCAGCCCGGGACACTCAGAGCCAGACAGGCCCAGGGAAAATGAATGAAATCACTAGGAATGGGCGGGAGGAGGGCAGCTCCAGGGATGGGAAGAGCAAAGGAAGCCGGAATTATTCCAACAAAGAGTCTTGGAGCAAACAGAAACAGACTTGGAATAGCCAAGGGATGAGCAGTAAGCCTGGGAATTTGCAAGCCCAAGAGACAGGGGATAGTGTTCAGGAAGAAGCTCTGGCTGCAGAAGATGCATCTCTCCCCGAAGCCCTGGCTACTCCTGAACCCCCTGAGGAGTATGCCTATCCAGACTACCGAGGGAAGGGCTGTGTGGATGAGAGTGGCTTTGTTTATGCTATTGGAGAGAAGTTTACTCCTGGCCCTTCAGCCTGCCCTTGCCTTTGCACTGAGGAGGGACCGCTATGCATTCAGCCTGAGTGCCCAAGACTCCACCCTCGCTGCATCCACGTAGATACCAGCCAGTGTTGTCCTCAGTGCAAAGAGAGGAAGAACTATTGTGAGTTCCGGGGAAAGACGTACCAAACTCTAGAAGAATTCATGGTAAGAGTTAAAAATCAGTCGTGCTGTTGTTGAATGATTTTTGAATTCTTGGATAGATTTTTAACCCCCCCCCTTTTTTAATACAAGATTCTGCTTAATCCAGTGGCTGAATATGGTAGAAACTATTGAACAAAATTTAAAAAAATTTTTTTCAAGCTATTGCCATCTTTTAAAATTATCTGTTTAATATGTATTAATTCCTTTGCTCTTTGCTAGGAAATGCCTTAATCATAATGAGGCCTTGATATTGAACTGTAAGATATAAACACTTGGGTAGAATTATTAGATTTTCCACCTTAATCTACTGCTTTTCATTTATAATTATTACTGTTTAAATGCATTACCCCTTTCTAGCCTAAGGTAATTTACAATACTATTTGGGACACTTTCTTCAGTTAATAGCTAATTATGGGACAAAAATCCACAAAAATAAAATCTATCCCCCATTGTAGGTTTAGACTAGAAAAGCAATGTTTATAGTATAATAATAGCTCACATTTGTATCAAACTTGAGGGTTTGCAAAGTACTTTACATCTTGAATCTCATTTGCTGCTCCCAGAAACACTATAAGATTAGTGCTTCCATTATCCCTAATTTACAAATGAGGAGAATGAGACTTCAAGGGGTTCAGAGACTTGCCTAGGGTAACTTAGCTAGTAACTATCTGGGGCAGCATTTGAACCCAGGTCTTTCTGATTCCACCACTAGGACATTGCCCTGTAAGCCAGGCTGCCCCAGAGATTAAAATGAAGTAAAACAAACAAAACTGATTAGCTTCTAGGTAGAGAGCTGGTGTCAATAACCATTTGCCAGAGTGATTTGAGTGATTCAGAATAACTATTTTTAGATGGGTTTAAAAAAAAGAGAAGGATACTCGAAAGATATTTTTTGGCTAATTTGATGTATTATGTTATTATCTATAGTGAAGATAACCGAGAGGTGTGTTATGTAGTCTGAATTGAAGCCTGGAAAATGGGATTGTGCTAAATTATGTGCACATTTAGTTCTTGAGGAAAATTGACAAGTCCTCTGCACTGACTACCCAGTTGCCCAGTATACGGATGTGTACTACTCTTTATTTCCCGTGGCCTAAATAATGCACACTAGCACGTGACCTGCTTTTCCACTTTTTTAGCACCAGTGGCAATGGAGGAAACAAAATTCTAGGAATCTAAAGGTAGGCACAAGCAATAACACTGGCTCAACCTGGAGAGTCAGCAGCACCACAGACCAGTCAGAACAAGACTGTAGTGAAAGGTATTGATTGTGTACATCACAGATGCATGGAGTAGCTAGACACTACAAAACCACTTGGCTATGAAACGGACAAGAGAAAGTAGACTATCTGTAACGTAAGTGTTTGGAGCAGCTAGGTTATATGGTGGATAGAGCATTGGGCCTGGAATCAAGAAGAGCGCAGTTCAGATCCAGCCTCAAGACACTTACTAGATTTGTGATCCTGGGCAAGTCACTTAACCCTCTTTGCCTCAGTTTCCTCATTTGTAAAAATGAACTGGAGAAGGAAATGGCAAACCACTCTAGTACTTTTACCAAGGAAACCCCAAATAGGGTCACAAAGAGTCAGACATAATTGAAATGAGTGAACAACAACTTAAGTGTGGCTACTATAGGCATATATGTGGGCACATTATACAAAAGGTCTTGATCCTTAGGTTTGCCCAAGAAATGTTGCTTAACTGGGCCAAGTAGTATTTTTGCCACCTTCTCTCTAATCTTTGTGAAAGTTCATAAATAGTTATGATCAAAAAAAGTATTTGATTAAAAAAATGTAAAGCACTTAGTACAGTGATTGGCACATAGTAACCATTGGCGGCTGGGTGGCCAAGTGGATAGAGTATCCTGCCTGGAATCATAAACACATGAGTTCAAATGTGACCTCAGACACTTACTAGCTGTGTGACCCTGGGCAAGTCACTTAACCTTGTTTGCCTCATTTTCCTCATCTGTAAAATGAAGTAGAGAAGGAAATGGCAAACCACTCCAGTATCTTTGCCAACAAACCCCGAAATGGGGTCATGAAGAGTCAGACACAGCTAAAAAAAACCTAAATAACAACAACATACAAATGTTAGTAATAATAACAATAATAAAGCTAAGCACATTACAATTATTATTTCATTTGATTCTCCCAAAGCCCAGGGAAGTAAGTACTATTTTTATCCCCATTTTACAGATAAAAGAAATTGAGGCAGAGGTTAAGTGATATACCCAAGTTCACATAGCTATTAAACATCTGAGGCTGCATTTGAATTTAGGTCTTCTTGAGTCTGGGCCCATTGCACAATGCATTGACATTTGTGTCAGGAGTAATAATAATAATTAGCAACATTGAGATAGTGCTTTAAAGCTTGCAAAGGGCTTTACATGCATTATGTCATCTGAGCTTCACAGTAGCCCTATGAGTTGGGCATCACTGGTAATATCCTCATTTTACAGATGAAGAAATGGAGGTTCGGCGAGGTCACACCGCTAATGTCAGAGGAAGGATTTGAAACCAGGTCTTGTTGACTCCAAGACCATCACTCTGTGTAATGCCACACTTTTTATAGTCATTTTTATCTACCATCCTCTATAATAATTCCATAAATTAGGTTAAGGCTAAGGATGTTATTCAGCCAAAGAATGGCTGAATAACAAAGCTGTTAGGTAATCTGTCTAAGATAAATAAGCTAGCTCAATATTGCTAATCCATTGCTGAGTTCAAGGAACCATGATTAAGGGCCTTTGGTGTATATATTATTGAATGAAAGGGTACAGCTTTCAATTTTATTTTCTTTGTCTGAAAATTGGTGGAATTTATTTTTTCCCAACCACTTACAGTAAGGGTATGTGTACATACCCTTATATATACATATAAATGTATATATAGAGAGAACATCTCTATACTCTCTACTCCCAGACTATTTACATATGTATACTTATGTGTATATGTTTATTTACATTTGTATGTGTGTGGAGAGAGACAGAGAGAGAGAGACAATATCAAAGTAGGGAGGCAGGTTACAGAACTTTAAAGTGGCAGTGGGAACAAACATTTAGATAATAGGCAAATATGTTATAAAGACAATTGATTGGATGGAAGATATAAGCAAGAAGAAAATTAAATATGGCAGTGTGGTTCCGTACATAAGGGCCATCAACAGCAATTATGGAAATCAGAAGGAAGAGCAAGTTTGGGGGAAGGACAATAGATTTGTTTTTGGATGTGTTTTGTGTACTAAGGTAGTGGGACATCCTGGTAGATTTCTCCAGTAGGCAGTTGGAAATGTAGGTTTGCAACTGAAAGAAACAGGAAGGATTTTAGCAGTCATAAAGCCCAAACTCTGCCCACCTCATCTCATTTTAGAGATGAGGAAACTCATTTAGAGATGAGGAATTTTAAATGACTTGCCCAGGGTCACATAGGTTGTAAGTATCTGAAGCAGAATTTGAACCCAAGGTCTTCCAGACCCCTAATCCAGCAATCTATCCACTATGCCATGCTGCCTATTACATAAGTATTGTACTTCTCTTCTGATTCTAGTATTACAATCCATTTCTATTGTCAATTTATATATCACTCTCTTGAATTTTCACATTTATTGTTACAACTTCCATAGTTATATTGTTACAACTTTCATATGAGGATCATTATACAAAACATGTGTTATGCATGTAATCATACATGTAATCATGCATGTGAATGTGTATAACATACCTTATATGCCATGCATGTATGCATGTATATACACGCACATATGCATGCATACATATGTGGCATTTAAGGTACCTGGTATTTAAAGCCTTCCAGAATATGGCCCTGATCTATTTTTCCAATCTAAACTTACATGGCTTCCTTTCACACACTTTTATGTTTAGCCAAACTCTATTACTGATTCTTCCCTATACTTGATTGTCCATCTCTACCCTCCAGGCATTTGCTTGAAATGTACTACTCCCTTTTCATTTTTGCTTCTCAGAATCCTTCTCTTCCTTCGAGGCTCAGTTCAGATGAACTCAGCGTAGCTCCCCTCCCTCTGAAACCTTCCCTGTTTTCTTAAATTTTTAGTGCTAACTCTTTCCTCCAATTACCTTCTGTTTACCTCTCTTAGTGTGTGTGGTAGGCCTTCGGTAAAACGTGATTTCCTCAAAGTCAGGGATTGGTACAGTTGAGCCTTTGTAGTGATAGCACTCTAGGGATGGAGCCTGCACCTGTGATTCCAGTAGCTTGGAGAACTCCCAAGTGAGGAAATTCCTTCTACTAATGCAGGTTAACAGCTGCTCTGAAACTTACACTCTTATAGAGTTGCCTCTAAGTCAAGTGATGTTCCCAGGCTCATGCAACCAGTTATGTGTCAGAAGCAGGACTTAAACCTTGGTCCTTCTGACTTTAAGGCTTATTTTTTCTATTCACTCTGCCCAAATAACCTCTCACAACATGGTAGCCAGTATAAAAATGTTCGTTTAGTCGAATTGAAATTTCATATTACTGCCATGTTAATATTCCTTGTGCACAGATCTCATCTCAGAACCCTTTAAGAGGTTGGAACGTCCTAACATATTTTTTTTAAATGGTACTGCCTAACAAATAAAATCCAAATTCTTAATTTGGCATTCAAGGCCCAACCTACCTTTCGAGTCTAATCTCAATCGAATTGCCTTCATGTATTCAACTCCAGTGAAAGTAAGCTACTTGCTACTATATATATGTGTGTGTGTATATATATATATATATATACATGTATGTATATGTGTATATGTACGCACATATACACATATACATACATACACACATACATATGTGTGTGTATGTATATGTATATTTATATCCATGAAGTTTTGTTTTTTTCTTTGCCTTTGCTCATACTATTCCCTTCGTCTGGAATAGCCTTCTCCCTTTCTACTCCTCATTTTAACCTATTGAAATCTTGCCTATTGGTCAAGATTCAGTTCAAATGCCACCTTTTCCATGAAGCTTTTCTTGATTCCACTGACTGAC